GAGACAGTGACATTTCTGCTACGAACAATCAGAAGCCATTTGAAAATGGCTTGATCCAAATTTGCAAATACCTTTTCCTCATACGCTGACGATTTGGGTTGTTTCCTTTCTCCACATCATCAAAAATCTTTTCCTTGTTTTTCAACCAGGTAGATAAGGTGTTCTTTGGTATATTATATTTTAAAGTGACCTTTGACTTTGAGATACCATCTAATACTTCCTTCAGTGTGTTGTATTTGACTTAAACAGTTTTTGTATTCAACTTTTGCTCAGTTGTAATTGTCGCCATGTTTACTTTGAGTTTAAAAACTTTGAGTTTAAAAAGCAAGTATTCACGCTGTAAACTTAAAAAATAATATTCAAAAAAATTTAGCAAAAAAATGCAATACAATGTCTTCCCTAAAGTATTTTATCTTTTATATGGAATGACTTCTTAAAAAAAAAATTTGTAATCAATTTATTTTGATTTCATTATTTCCCATACAAAAAATTCAAGTTATCCAAAGAAATTTGCCGAAAAGGGATAATAAAATGGTTCAACTTAACGAAGTTCGAGTTATGCGATGTTCGACTAAACCGGAGGATTTTAGTAGTAATCAGTTAGACAATTTCAAGGGACCAAATGAAACAGTTCGAGATAACAAAAGTTTGAGTTAACCGGTGTTTGACTTGCTGGGAAATAACTGTATATATAGTTAACCAAAATGAGTAAAATTGCTATTTTGACCTCCCAAAATGAATTCTTGCCAGCCATGGTTGACCGGTTAAAAAATAATGAGAGTTTTGAAAAAACAAGATTTGAAAAATAATCAGATTATTATTTGGAAAAAGCATGTACTAAATTATCATATCATTAAAATTTTGAAAAAGTTTATCAATTTATCAAATTTCCTTTTAAAAATAAAATGAATCTGCGCGCCTAATTTTGAACTATTAACATTGGCGTGTAACTTTAATGTTACTTATTTGCAAATTTAAAAAAGGAATACTAATTTGTTAATTATCAAATATTAAGTTATTTTTGTATTTATAAAGTTCAGTCATGAAGAACTATTATGAAGATTAAAATGAAAACAAAGAAAATAATAAAAATGTTGACCGTCCAAAAAAAACAGTTGACCGTCAATTCCGAGGGTTAGCTGGTCAAATTGACTGCTCGCCTTCGATTTCTTATATTACACACTGTATATATATATATATATATATATATATATATATATTATATATATATATATATATATATAATATATATATATATATATATATATATATATATATATATATATATATATATATATATATATATATATATATAAATATATAAATATATAAATATATAAATATATATATAAATATATAAAAGTATATATATATATATATATAAAAGTATATATATATATATATATATATATATATATATATATATATATAAATATATATATATATATATACATATATATATGTATAAATATATAAAAGTATATATATATATATATATATATATATATATATATATATATATATATATATATATATATATATATATATATATATATATATATATATATATATATATATATATATATATATATATATATATATATATATATATATATATATATATATTAGAGTGCAGTGAAAAAATTAAAAGTGGAATATTTATATGTAATAGCAAGAAAAAGTTGTCTTTTGGTAAGTGTTTAAACATTGAAAAAAAAATTTTCAAAAATTTTAATGTCTTCAGTTGCCTCATAGGGGACAAAGTTACTAAAAAGAGGTATTTTTTATGACAATTTTTTAGTCAATTATTTTGCCCTACCACTGCGCCACGGGTGCTTCTTCTCTTGACTCTTTTGATGGGCCTGGGGCTATAGCCCCTAGCTATATATAGCCTGGGGCTATAGCCCCCCTGAAGACATTAAAATTTGGAGGAAACTTTATTCACTTTATTTGAACACATATCAAAAGGCAAATTTTTGTTGCTACTACATATCAATAATTTACTATTCACATTTTCACCTAAAGTTTCACTGCGCCCTAATATATATATATATATATATATATATATATATATATATATATATATATATATATATATATATATATATATATATATATATAATATATATATATATATATATAGCGCTCAAAATAATGAACTTCTTTGTTCCAGGCAATTTGTCAATGAATACTTAAGTTTGGTGATAAAACGCTAAACTTAAGTAATGTTCGATAAAACCTAAAGAAACCTAAACCTAAAGGCCATTCCTGACCACACTTAAAATATATTATTTTTTTAACTTGACTACAGCAGTTTGTTTTGACAACTTGAGGTGTTTCAAAAATGAGTTAAAAAGAAAAAATTAAAAGATAAATCTAAAAAAAGAAAAAATCAAAGCTTAAAAACTAAAATTTGAAAAGGAAAATATTTTTATATTACATTTTTTTAAAAACACTATATTACGTGAAATGCTTTGTAAACTATTATAAATATATAAAATACATAAACTATTATGTTTACTTATTACTTCATTAAATAAAGTAACAAATTAATTCTAATGGTTGTTTACAATAAATCCATTATATTTAAATTATCAAAGAATATTATATGTAATTACACTTATATAAATATGTATTTTTTGATAAATCTTTTTAACCTTTTAATAAACTTTTATATAATATGATGATTTTATGAGCCCTAGTTCACTTTTTGAAGGTACTAGTAGCCTAGAAGGGAATTTATTTGAAAGTTTGGTTTATGATCTTTTAGTTCTCTAATTAAGCTCCAAGATTATACTTGTTGGACACTATTAATTGTATTTTACAAAACATAAACATAGAAACTAACAATTTTAATTATTCCCTAAACAATATTTTTGCTGTTAAAACAAGCAATATATACCAAATTGCCCCAAATAATCACCATAAAATATTGCACGATAATATTTCTAATAACTACATAAAAACCCCTAAAAACTTAGAAAAAACAATTAATTTAGAAGGCCAAAATATTGTTAAAACAATTAATTTAGAAGCTAGAATATAATCAGTTGCACCAGCGCATTTATCACACTAAAAGGTCATAAACCAAATTAAAAAAAAAAATTCCTTGTAGGCTACTAGTACCTTCAAAAAGTGAACTTGGGCACATTAGTAAAATTAAATTAGACAAAATAAATAATATTATTCAAAAAAAATTAAATTTGCAACAGTGAAAAAATACTACTGATGTTATAAATTGTTTTTCTAAAATTAGTAATAAAAATAAATGCACATTTATACAATTTGATATTAAAGATTTTTACCGCTCAATAACAGCAGAAATTTTAGATAAAACAATAGAATTCAGAAAAATTCACACTGAAATTACAGACGACACTATTCATTTAATTTAACATTGCAAAAAAACTTTATTTTAATAATGAGATATGAAAGAAAAAAACCACGCACAAAGGATTTGATGTAACAATGGGAAGTTACAATAGAGCAGAAATTTGCAAATTTGTAGGCTTATATATTTTAAATTCCCTAGCTAAAATAGTTCATTTTAATCATTTAGGCTTGTGTTGGGATGATGGTTTAATAATAATGCAAAAAAAAATCAGAGTCTCGACTTGACAAAATCAGAAAAAATATTATAACAAATTTAAAAAATATTGGAATAAACATTAATTTAAAAATTGTGAATTTTCTAGATGTCACATTTAACTTCTCGGAAATTTCTTATAGGCCTTAAAAAAACCTAATGATGAATTATATATTATTATAAATTCTATTCATCCCTCTCAAATCTTAAAACAAATTCCTATTAAAAATAGACCGAATCAAAACTCTTCTAATGAAAATATTTCAACTCTTCCAAACTCGTGCTCCTAAAAAAAGCTGATTTAAAAATTTTGAGCTAAAATTTGAAATAAAAATTGCAAAAAAGCAAAATAGAAATTTAATTTGGTTCAATCTTCTGTACAGCAAAAATGTTTCAACAAATATTGGAAAAGCATTTTTAAAATTGGTATACAAATATTTCCCTACCTCTAATAAATTGCACAAAATTTTTAACTAAAACAATATTAAAATACAGAAACACTATTAAAGTTATAGCTGTACAAAAAGTATTGAAAGAATTATAAAAGACCATAATTTTGCATTAATTAATAAAAATGAATTTCTCAAAGAAAGAAATACTGAAAATTGTAACTACAAGCAAAAAATTAACTGCCCTATAAATGGCAAATGCTTATCAAAAAATATTATTTACAAATGCATTGCTTCCTCATAAAACAACCCTGATAAACAATATATTGGCTTAACCAAAGGCAAATGGAAAAAATATTATGCCAAACACAAGCAATCTTTTAAACATAAAAAATACTCAAAAGAGACTATCCTGACAAAATAAATTTGATATATATATATATATATATATATATATATATATATATATATATATATATATATATATATATATATGTATGTATGTATATATATATAAAATGCTTCTAGAAATAAAGATAATACAATTCATCTGAATTTACCTTGGTATGTCAAAAGAAAAATTTATATATATATATATATATATATATATATATATATATAAAATATATACATATTTTAAGAATATATATATATATATATATATACATATATATATATATATATATATATATAAAATATATACATATTTTAAGAATATATATATATATATATATATATATATATATATATATATATATATATATATATATATATATATATATATATATATATATATATATATATATATATACAACCACAGATTCTAAAACATGTTTTAAGAATATATATGTATATATATATATATATATTTATATATATATATATATATATATATATATATATATATATATATATATATATATATATATATATATATATATATATATATATATATATATATATATATATATATATATATACAACCACAAATTCTAAAACATTAAATTTTATCATTAAATATTTACCAGAGAATGCTTGTATCATCTGGGCTGCAATTTTGAAAGAGCATATATATAAGTTGTGACATAGACATTCTTGTAAATTCATTTGGATAAGAAATTAATGCAGTAAAGATGGTCAAAACAAACACCTTAATGAAAAATAAATCATAAATAAATCATCTTATTAAAAAGAATTAAAAAAATAAAATTATTAGAAAAATAAAATTAATTAAAAGTTAAAGAAACAGCTCAGTCTAATCCTTTGATGCATATTTTTGCATTTCTTTAAACTTTGTTTGAATAAAACAATATCTACCAGTACAAAGCATTTTACTAAAGAGGAAATTTAAAAATGTGAAAATTATTTTTATTTGAAAACTTTTTTTCTACTGAAAATTATTCAAATAAGAAGTATTGTTTTACTCATATTGTTCATTGCAAGTAATCTATCTTTTTTAGATATGTTCTAATAGAGCCAAGCTCTGATGCCACTTAACTCAATCATCTCAAGCCAAGGACAGAAAAATGTTGTTGAAACTTTAAACAAAAATGATTATATCTTTATGCTGTACTAATTTACATTTTCAAAAACATAACAAAATAAAGTTTTATATAAATGTAGAGAAAAAGAACAAAGTTAGACAGAACAAGATAAGAATTTTGTATTATCATCTTTTAAAGTAAGAAGACTGGAGATCTTAAAGATGTCAATGATTTTAACATAGATCTACAAAGATCTTAATGATTTTAACATATCTCCTCTAAAATATTAATAGAAATTTTTCAAAACATATACGCTCAGAAGGAAAGCAAAAAGTTGCAGACATGAATGAAATAGTCTTTTTGTTGAGAAGTTCAACAATAGTCCAACAAGCTTGTGAGAAGTCCAACAAGTTTGTGAGAACTTGAACTAAAGTCCAACAAAATGGTTGATATTAGGTGTACAATAAAACTTTGAAGTTACAGATTATAAGATGGCCACACAGCTTTTTAATTAAAAAGAATTGTTAGCCATTTCTCCATTGTATAAGGTAAAGTTTTACCTTTTATACAATATAGTTTTACATTTATACATGTTGTATTAAAAGCAAAAAATAAAAAATTTTTACAGAGGTTTTTTGAAATATTTGACATCAAAGTTGAGTTATATAAATTGTTTTCTTAATTTTTAAGTATCTTTCATATTAGACCATCCTAAGTTCATTTCTTAAGTATAGCTATGTCTTTTTTATATATGAGACCATCCTAAGTACATTTCTTAAAGTCATTTTCTTGAGTACATTTCTTGTATGAAAAAGCATTGTAAATGTTTTTTTTTTTCATTTTTTATTTCTTATATTCATAGATGAGTATTTGACTTTTTAAAAATCCCGGAAATTTTTTTCTATGAAAATTCCGGAAAATCCCAGGAAATTATTTAATAAAAAATCGATCGTTTTACAGGGTTATTCATTTTTATATGCGCAATGATATGCGAGTCAACCATCCATAAAATCTCTAATATAATTTAATATAAAAAATAAATAGGCTTTTAAATTTTTATATTGATATATTAATAATAATTATAAATAATTAAATTTAAATCTATATAAATGAATAATTAGATAAATAATAATTTAATCAATGAAGAAATGTAATAAAATTAAACAAAGACCTCGTTTACCAGGAAATAAGAAAAATTTGTTTTGAAAAAAGGAAATTGTTTTTTCAAAACAAAATGCTTAAATGATTTTTTTTGTTGTTCTTATTGCTTTTTTAAAATGCATAAGAATGAAACGCATATAAAATTGAAAAGACGCGCATATAAAGTGAATAACCCTGTAACAGACAACAAAAACATTTGTAAATTTTTTAAAATGGAATTTAGAATATTTAACTTTTTACAAAAAGGAATTTCTAATATTCGAAAAAGTTAATTTGAATGACTTAAAAAGCAAAAAAAAAAAAAAAAAAAAATTGTTACGAAAATTGATCTCGTAAAATTTTAATTATAGAAAACGTTTGTTTAAATGCAAAAGTTGTCGTATTTAAAATTTTATGTAAAAATATATAAACTTTTTTTTCAAATCAATAACAAAAAACATCCGGAAGTTTTTGGAAAATTAAAAGTGAATTTCCGAAATTCCGGGAATTTCCAGAAAAAACTCATCTTTGTATATTATTAAGAAACTTTTTTTCTAAACATCATGAAAACTGGATCATTATAGGAAGAATGATAAATATTTAAATTGTCTCGGGAGATCACAAGCACAAATCACATAATAAATTAATAATAAAAACAAACATAAACACTTAATAATATGTATGTGCATAAGCACATAAAAGTATATGTGTATAAACACAACAATATGTGTATAAAAACATAACAATATATGTGTATAGTCACATAACAATTTATATGCGCATTAACACATAACAATATATGCCTGTACAAACAAATAGCAATATACATCTGCATTACTACAAAACAATATATGTGTATAAACACATAATATATATTTGTTTAAATATATAACAAAATATAAGTAAAATGGAAACCTCTATATAAATATTTATATAAAACCTCAGTCATGGGATAATTTCCAAACTTTTTAGTTTTTCTCATTCTGCACCAAAAAATGTTACATTTAATAAAAAAAGCACCAAAACATCCCTATAATAAAGAAGCAGTCATTAAATTTTAATTCAAATCTATAACATAAATAATCTAAAATAAGAAAGAAAATATTTTCAATTACACCATAGATTCCAAGCAGAATAAAAGGTATTATCTCAAATAAGTTCCATGGAATATTGTAGTCAATACTATAAATTACAAGATGACCATTTCCATATGGATTTAGATACCATATTGTCAATGCCGCCATCATTGAGCATAAAAATGTACGCCACAAGATTTTCATCGAAAAATAATAACTGATCTATAAATAAATAATTATTACACATTTAAGAGTCATGTACCCCCCATGCCTACTTGTCATACACCATTATATGTTAGCATTCTACATGAGTAGCATCATGCTAAAATAGATTCAGTCATATTAACATAGCTTTAAGTAAATTTAAAAACAATCTGTTTAAAGGGATCCCAAACTCCCAACACATGTTGTGTTCATATTAAAGATAATGTTAAAAAAAAAGGTTTAAACCAAATTTTTTTGATTAAAAATAAATAATGAATGCATACCATGAAAAACAAATGTTGTTGTTTTTGCCAAAGCTCGTCTTCAAATTATGCGTCACAATTTACAGACTTTGGCAATTCCTTTGAAGCGCGTTTAATTCATAAAAGTTTTAGTATTTGACGTCACGGAAGACTTTTAACAAAAGAAAAGTGCAATTAAACTAAGCTGCGTTTTTCTACTGTAGTATTTTTTTAACATACAGCAAAACAAATTTATTTGTATTATTTTTCTAAACATCGCAAAAAAAAATTTGTAAAAAGAAAAAATGATAAATTATTTTTATTTTATAGGAGCAACTTGTTTTTTACAGATATCTTAATAATTTTTCGATTTATATATCTTACTTATATTTCTTTTGTTTTTAAATTAAAACAAATATTAAAGCTTTACTTACATATCTTATGATTTTCTTACGAGTATTTTACATTATACAGAATGTTTTATATACGGTCTCTCGTTTTTGTGCAAGAGAGCGCAGTATTATATATTCTAAATCTTACATTAAACAATCAAAACTATTTTCCAACTTCTCTGGTCATTTTTACGCTATGAAGTTTTTTGTTTTTCCGTCGAAAAAAAGTAATTACAAGCAATTGCTTTCATTTAATTAGAGATATTTGATGAACTGCTAAATTTTTTTATTATAAAAATTTTTTGATTACGCTGATTAAATTTAAATTGCTGAACTTGCTAAATTGGATATGGATAAAAAAAAATCATTTTATTTTGCATTTGATTTTTGATAACGAAACTTTTGAAATGTCGGCAACTCCATACATAATTTTGTTTTTACTCTAACATATTTTACATACTATAGGAACAAATACGTTCCTAGGGCCTTTTCTGATCTTAGAATAAATTAACACAATATCGCATAATTTTAGGGGCTTTTTATTTATTGCTAAGTCGTTCTAAATAATAAGCAAATATAGTATAAGTTAATATTTTAATAATTACAGTTGCAATATAACAAAAAAAAAAGATGTCTAATGTTGAATTTTTTATTTAGTTATTTATTTTTTACCTACTTTTGTTATAAAAAGACTTTAGTACCCCCTTCATTTAAATAATTTGTTTTAAATATATTTCGACGTGATTATTCAAACTAATTTTTTTTCGTTTGACTTCCCCAAGTAAATTGAGACAAAATATCGTCTAACCAAATAAAAATGTTGTTACTAATTTTATACAGGTAATTAATGTAAAACATTTATTTATCAGAGTCCTATAATTGAGATAATAATTTTATACGGGTAATTAAAGTAAAACATTTTTTTATCAGAGTCTTGATTGAGATAATAAATATTCATAATTTATAAACATTAAATATATGGCGCAATAACAATTTATAGCAACGAACCAGCATAAAATATTTAAGGTTTTTAATATCTTTTTAAATATTAAAAGTAGAAAAAAAAACTAAACAAATAACCAAAAAAAAAACTAAACAAATAACCAAAAAAACTTCGACTAAAAATAAATAAAAATATTTCCAGAGTTTCTTTTGTTAAAAGTCTACCATGACGTCAAATACTAAAACTTTTATGAATTAAACGCGCTTCAAAGGAATTGCTAAAGTTTGTAGATTGCGACGCATAATTTGAAGACTCCGAGTGGTTGAAAAAAATGGAAAAGATGAGCTTTGGCAAAAACAACAACATTTGTTTTTCACGGTATGCATTCATTATTTATTTTTAATAAAAAAAATTTGGTTCAAACCTTTTTTTTTAACATTATCTTTAATATGAACACAACATGTGTTGGGAATTTGGGATCCCTTTAATGTAAATCTAACAGCCAAATAAAAAAGAATAACGTGAAACAATGAGCATTACCACCTCAGGACATTCTTATTACTTTTAAACACTTCACTGAAATGCTACTTAAGTACGACTACTTAAGATGTATTTACAAATCAATAGTTTAATAAATTTAATAAACATAACTTTTTTAAAAAGTTTTTAAAAATGCGTATTTAATTCACAAATGTTATTTGGTAAAAAAACATAGCCAACACAATATTAAATTATATAATCAAAAAATGTTAAATAATATAATAATATTAAATGATATTAAATTTATAATTAAAAATATCTTTTAATTAATTGACAAAAATAACCAATAAGTTTATTCTACACTTATTATTACTATTAACACATTCTAAAACAGTATTTTACTCTACACAACTTAAGAATTTTTTTTTAAATATATATTATTAATTATGAACTCATAAACAACATATTTATGAATTCATAAACAGTTAAAAATGTTGATTTTTATCAAAATTTTTAACTGTTTATGAATTCATAAGTATGTTTCTTATAATTACAAACAGTTAAAAATTTTGATAATTATAAACAGTTACAAATTTTGTAACTGTTTATAATGATCTTAATAAACAGAAATAAGCTTTTAAAATAAAGATATCTGATTCTTTTTTTTCAACTAAAACTTATTTAATGCAAAAAATTTTTTTTTTAAATATTTTGTAACTATTTCTGTTTTTCTATTTTGTTTACCTTCATTGTTTTCTATTTTGTCATTCTTTGTTTTTTCTTAATTAAGATTATATTAGCATGTGCTTAAATGTTTTTACAAATCTGTTTAATATTGTTTTACCCACTGCTTACTTTTATTAACCTGTTTAATATTGTTTTTACCCACTGTTTACTTTTACACAATTTACTTGCTTTTTTTATGTTTACACAATTTACTTTTTACCCACTGTTGAATATTATTTAAATTATTGCAACAGTTGCTGTAGCCAGATTTTAAATGAACTAATATATTTATCTGCATATATACATTATATTGTGTTGTTACTTATACCTGCTTATACATTAACTATTGCACATCAACAACAAAATCAATTATTATCGATATTATTATTTCATAACTATTTAAATTTTTTTATCAGGTTGTAGCAGCAATATCATTGGTAAACACATAAAATAATTTTATTTCAAAATAACTTCAAAGTCACATCAAGAGAAAAAAAATATTTTCTAAAGATGTGTCAATGCTACATCACATTACACAGGCTATTTAACTGCAAACATCACCACAGAGTATTTAACAATAACACAGAGTTGTTATTTAAAAAAAAAAAAATTAACAATAATAATATTTAAGTTGAACATCTTTATACAGCTTAACAATTCATTTATAGCTTTTTGTACATATTTTATCAATTAACAGTAAAGGAAAAAAAAACTTATTATATTTTCTCACTAATATAATAATAATAAAAGTTGTCCATGTTCCACATATTAATAAAAAAAAGTTGTCTATAATCTATATTTACAAAATATTTTTGTAAATATAGATTATAGACTTTTTAATTAAAAAAAAAATTATTTAGATTTTTATTAAACACTTTTAGCGCTACAACGCTACATATCTATATATGTAAGTATGTATGTATAATTGTATATATACAGTGTTCAAAGTGAGGCGGGATGCAGCAGGATGCCAAACTGTTAACTTATAAAGTATAAACCACCCCGCCACCTTTTTATAAATCTATATTATATCTCTATATAATTCTTTATTATAATCTTTATATATCTATATTATAAATAAATATAACAATGATAAGGCGGGATTGTGTTTTTAATTTACCAAATACCATCCCGTTACACTTTTTTCTCCACTTCGAGCACTGTTTAGGGTAGTTCCATGTCAAATCAGCAGACTTATGTCATTCCATTTTTAGATTTTGCTAATTTTTTTATGTTATAGGGTTTATGAAAATTAAGAAAATGTGAAATTTGGAACCTCAGTCTCCTTATGGGTCTTGAGATATTCAGGATTCAATTTTTTTATTTATGCAAAATACTATATTGTTGTAAAGTAGCAATATTTTATGAACCAAATGATATATCTTCCTGAAATTTTGGGGCAATAATTATATCTTCCAAATTAAATATTTTTCCAAAAACAAAAATTTTGTTTTGCTAAAAATTTTTCTTTTAAGCTTTTTGGATGCGTTATGGAGCAATAATTAGAAATAATATATTTATTTATTAAAGCTAATTTTTTTTTAAAAGACCAACATTTTTTTAAGTAAAAAAACTTTAATAGGTTGTAATCCAAATTCATTTATAAAAGACATTTTTTTTTTTTTTTAAATAAATAAAACCTTTTATTTTCTCATTATTATATTATTGCTTATGATTTTATGTTGCAAATATTAGTTACTGTTACTTTGCAGAACATTTATATTTACTTAACTAATTAATAAATGTTAAATGATTACTATATGATCTACAAATAAAATAAAATAAAAATTAATTACTCTTTAATCATGAATAAGAGGATACAATATGGCACATTTAATTATATGGATATTATAATAAAATGTATAAATAATTTACCATAAAATGTTAATGGTATTTCTGAAAAATATTTATTTTGTAAAATATTTCAAAACTAGATTTTTTGAATAAAATTAAAAGTTGGAAAATATGTAAAAGTGTTCTATTGGATTAGAATGTAAGGTTGACTGCCACAAACAAGGTTTAACAAGAAGGTCTTTTAGACCTATCAACATTTTCTTTTAGACCTATCAACATTTTCTTTTAGACCTATCAACATTTTCTTTTAGACCTATCAACATTTTCAAACAATGAAAAACAAGAGGTTATTATGGAGAACTGGTTAATTTGATTATGGAGAGATGGTTTATTTGATTTTGGAGAGCTGGTTAATTTGATTATGGAGAGATGGTTTATTTG